TCACGGAAACCCCCACCAGAATCCTAAAATGGCCGGAGAAGAAGGTGGCGCACGGCGGTCGTCGCCGTCTTCTCCGGCGAAAGCTCACCCAAATCCAAAACCAGCAACACAAACCCCCCTTAGAATCTTACCCTCTATCCGAATTCAAAGACGAAATCACCAAAAACTAACCCTAAATAACCAAATCGAAATTTCCCCTCTTTCAAACCCTAAAAGGAAATCAACGAAAAATGGAAGAAAAACGAGGATCTATTGACGATGAAGAAATTAAAAGTGAAGAAACTCACCCTTGAAGATCCTAAAAGCTCAGATAAGTCTCTCACGCCTCCCTTCCTCTTTTCTTGCAACGAACCCTTGATGTCTTTTTTGATAAAAAAAATTTTAAGTTTTTTTTTTCGTTCTTCCCTTCCCCCTTAATAAACAGCGCTTTCGTTCTTATAATGTGAAAGAAAATTAGGGTTTGTAATAAACATCGCTTTCGTTCTAAAAACTGTTTTTATTATTTTGGTGAATACCTTGTCCTCGTCTGCTGCCTTCTTGTTTTTTTTTTTTTAATTTTTGTTAATCTGAATGTGGTCCCAATTATTCTTTGTCCTATTGTTCTGACTTGGATAGAATAAAGTTTTTTTTGTTTTGCACAGAAAAATTATTATGTATTGTTAGAAAAAAAAATCTGATTTGGTGAACACATGAAACGTGACCTGGTTTTTTTGTTGTTGAAAGAAACGTATAGGATTTGAACTCTTGAAGTTGAGATGCAACATGAACTGCACTTGGTATATGGGGTTAGCAAATGTATTGAAAATCTGTTTTTGACATGACTTGAAATTGAGAATTTGATGACTTGAACCATAACATGATGATTGTGTCTTGGGTTGTTGTAAAAGAAGAAAAATATATTTTAATTTGAATTGTAAATGGTACAATTGATGGTTTTTGGTTTATGGTTTTGCAGGTGGGTACTCTTACAGGTTTTCACGGTAATAGCAGGCTGGTACTGTAGCATGCTTATATGGGTGGGAGGTTTTTTTCCGCAGCAGGCCGTGTTGTACGGGATATGGTTGAGTGGCAATAGCAGGTTTTGCTGCAGATGGTGGGAACAGCTCATAGCTTTTGTTTGTTTTGGTTTGGAATTTTGTGGGTTTGTGGTAGGGTTGGACAAAGATTAAAATACTGACCCAACCCGACCAAACCATACATCCCGTGCAGCATCGGTTCGGGTGAGTCGGTTGGTCGGTTCAACGGTTTAGCAAATTATGGATTCCAATGGGTTAACTCGGGCGGTTTAGGATACATATTTTGGAGCCAGTGTTATCCATATCCGACCGACTCAATAATGTATTAAGGAAACTGGATTGGATAGATACGTTAGGCATAACGCTACCAGCCAAGAAAAACCTAATTGAAATGAGTATTTCTCACTCAGACACTCAGTCACTCCACAAATCACTTTCGTTCCCAGTTTAAGACGTTTTTCTGTGCTAGGGTTTTCTCATATCATCCACCGCCGTAAATCATCGTTGTTCAGCGACCACCGATCACCGTTCATGTAAGTTTCTCTCTCTCTCTCTCTCTCTCTCTCTCTCTCTCTCTCTCTCTCTCTCTCTCTCTCTCTCTCTCTCTCTCTCTCTCTCTCTCTCTCTCTCTCACTTACTCACACACATTGTTTATGGTTTATGTTGCTTGCGCCTTCTTCTTAGGTTTGCTGAATCATTTTGATTTACTTGATGATTTCATTTGTTGAACTTGTGGATTAGTGAAAACATTTGTTGAATCGTGTTGTTTTTCAATGAAAACATATCGTTTGATGAATGTTAGGTTTATGTGTTATGCTCCCATATGTAGTATGAACTATGAAGTATTGTTGTTGTGTCTATAGTTCAATTGATTAATTGTCTGTATGCATTATGTTTCTAATTGCATTATATTTATTTTATTGGAAATGGAACATGAAAAAGGTAGCTCACATCGAGTCGGAGATGGTAGCTTCATTGGTGCTGGAAATGGTAGCTTCCTTGGTGATGGAAGTGCTAACCTGCAAGGAGTGAGTCAAGGTATGAATATGGTAATACAACTTTGGTATTTGTTGTATGTTGGTGTGTATGGAAATGCTAGCTCAGAGTAATGTTCAATTCTTTACTGATTTCAAATGAATTTATTTACATTCTTTGTTGTACTTTGATCATTATTCATTGTTAATTCAACCATGTTTTTTGTTGTTATAGTATGCTAAACTCTGATGGTATACTGAACTCTGATAATATACATAAACCATAATTTATATAAGGCATAATTTGTATGCTCAATATGATGTTCAGTATGCCTTTGTTACAAATTAATTTTCAATTTTCATTACTGTTATAATTTGTATGCTCAGTATGTTTTTCAGTACTGATAACAAAGGCATGCAAAAGCATACTAAACCATAGTTTTCAGTACTACCTTATACATATTAGTTTTCAATACTGCTATTTAATTTATATGCTTAGTATGCCTTGTATATATTAGTTTGTAGTACTGCTATTTAATGTTTATATATTGTTGCTTCAACAAGAATTTGTATACTGAGTATGCTTTTATATACTGATATACATACATGCTAATATATACATGTTCTAGCCGTCACTGTGTGTATATATATATATATATATATATATATATATATATATATATATATATATATATATATATATATATATATATATATATATATATATATATATTCTAATTATTTTCTAGTTTCTTTATAATATATACATGTTATTAGTGATAGTTTCATTTGTATATATAAATGAGTATGCTTTTATATACTCATATGTCCACGATAATATATAATTGCTAAAATATGCATGTTCTAATTTTTTAGTTTCATTTGTTCTAATTTCTTTTTTCTAATTTTTTGCTAATATATACTTGTTCTAAGTATTTCTATACTGCTATATGTATGATACCATATAGGTTTGCAGTGTGTATGATTGTGTATTATGAGTATGAGTATGATTTTAGTATGTATGGTTGTTTGTTAGATTGTTTGATTTAGTTTTACCAAATGTTTTCAGTGCCGGAACATCCTGTTTCCCATGCTGAACCTACACAAGTAGAATCTACACTTCCTCACGTTCCCCCTGCTAGGAAAAAAAGACAAGTTAATGCTAGTGGAACTAGGAAAACTTCCTCTATTTGGTTAGACTTTAACATTTTACCTGATGAACCTAAACCAATAGCCGCGTGTAAACATTGTCACAAAAGATACCGATGCGACCCTAAAACACATGGAACATCCAACATGTTAGCTCACTCAAAAGTGTGTCACAAAAACCCTAACCTTTTACAGAAAGATCCCACACAAAGAAACCTTGTAAGTGGTGATGCTGGTTTTTTAGGTTCAACAAGCCAAAGGTTCAATTCTCAAGCATGTAGGAAGGCTATTACTTCCTTTGTTATTCTTGATGAGCATTCCTTTAGAGTGGTAGAGGGTGAGGGTTTTAAGAAACTATGCAAACAACTACAACCACAAATTACTATCCCTTCAAGGAGGACTGATGCTAGGGATTGTTTTCAACTTTACCTAGCCGAAAAGTCAAAACTTAAAGCCTTTTTTAAATCTGATTGTGCTAGAGTTGCACTAACCACAGATTGTTGGACTTCAATTCAAAATCTTAGTTACATGGCCATAACTGCACACTTCATTGACAATGCATGGATCTATCATAAAAAGATTATTAGTTTTAATTTAGTTCCAAATCACAAGGGTGACACCATTGGTAAAAAAGTGGAAGATGTTTTGAAGGAATGGGGGCTTAGGAAAGTGTCAACAATTACCCTTGACAACGCAACATGTAATGATGTAGCTGTTTCTTACTTGGGAAAAAGACTTGAGAGCAAGAATTCTTTAATTGGTGTCGGGAGTTTTTTGCATATGAGGTGTGCTGCCCATATCTTAAACTTGGTTGTGAGAGATGGACAAAAAGATCATGAGTTGGCTATTGAAAGTGTTCGCGATGCTGTTAGGTTTGTGAGGTCCTCACCACAAAGAGCTTTGAAGTTTAATGAATGTATAGAAATTGTAGGGATAACATGTAAAAGAAAACTTGGCCTTGATGTTTCCACACAATGGAATTCCACTTACTTGATGTTGGATGCTGCTGAGAAGTTCCAAACAGCATTTGAAAAGTTAGAGGATGAGGATCCTAGCTACATGGAGTTTTTTGAACATTCCGGTCCACCTTGTTCTACTGATTGGGAAAAAGCTAGGGCTTTTGTGATTTTTTTGAAAACATTCTATGAGGCAACCAAATTGTTTTCATCTTCGCAAGAAGTGTCGTTACATTTAGCCTTTCATAACTTGTCTGATATTTTGTGTAAGCTTCAAGAAGCGTCCTTGAACATGAATACCTATGTGGCTCCAATGGTTTCTAATATGAGGACCAAATATGATAAATATTGGGGAGATGTTGAAAAAGTGAATCATTTTATCTATTTTGGAGTGATCTTTGACCCTAGGTTTAAGTTCGGTTATGTTGAGTGGTCTTTCAGTGACATGTATGGGGTTGGTAGTGAACTTGCTAAGAAAAATGCTTAGTGTGTCAAAAAAAGTCTATATGAACTATATAATTGGTATAAATTTGAGCATGATAAAAATGTCGGGGCTGCCCTCTTAGATGCACCATCCGGGAGCACTTCCCATGGAGAAACATGCACCCAAACTAGAAAACCATGACTTTTTACAAGGGCTGATGCTTTTAAACAACACTTGAAAGAGAAAGACACGGTTGATAATCAAAATGAACTAGAGAAGTACTTAGGAGACCCTTGTTGGGGAGATGCTGGAAATTTTAACATTCTTAAATGGTGGAAGGAGAATTCCACATGTTATCCTATATTAGCTACTTTGGTTAGGGAAGTTTTGGCAACACCTGTTTCAAGTGTAGCATCCGAAAGTGCTTTTAGTACTGGGGGGCGAATTTTAGACATGTATCGGAAGTTCTTTGAGCCCGGCAATGGCCGAGGCACTTATTTGTTCTCAAAACTCGTTGATGCCTTCTAACGAGAACGACTCAAGAGTCGTTGATCTGCTTGAAGAATATGACATAACTGATTCTTTGTAGGTACTTTATGAAACAAAACTTTATCTTTTTTAATATTATTTTAATAACTTTAGCCTCTTTATATTTTTGGTATCTTGCAGAGTTTCGTGTAGGTGTTACCGTTGGAGCAACTGCTCCTGGGCAGGCTGTGCCTGTTTAAATCACCTTTAGGTATATGCTGAATATATATATATATATTCTATTGTATTTGCAGCCATACTAAACCATTTTTTCTCTTGTACTTGCAGCCACTTTTTGAATTTTTTTGGAGTCTTGAATGACTCATAATATTAAAGCCATTATAATTAGTAAATCAGTTTTAGGAATCCATGTAATAATTTTGGGGCACTATTGTTTTGGGTAAGGAATCCACTATTGGTTTAATACAGTGACAATGCTGTGAGTTTACACTTCTTTTGGGGCTGTTCATGACGATGAATCCAGACCTGTTTTGGTAATTTACACTGCTTTTTACTACATTTTTCTCACTAGTCTTAATTATCACTCTGATTTAAGTTTAACCAGTAACTAACCGTGTTTAATTTGATTGATTATTTTAGGTTTTTATAGATCGGCGTCTGGTTTTATGCAAGGTGTTTGTAATTTGTAATGAGGTTCTAAGCTTGTTGTTGTGTGCCTCAGTTCTGTTTAGATCCTTGAAGGAAGTTTTTTCTGGCTGACTGCAGCTGTGAGTTTAAGTGTGGTTTGTGTTGAACTCCTGCAGCTGCTAGGCTTTGGTAAGAATTATCACAGGTAGGCTAGTTGATTTAGTATTTTAGTATTTAGTGTTTTAGGACTCAGTAGGCTTTAACCATTTTGAGTTTGTCAACTCATATAAGCTGTCAGCATGTTTGATTTGGATTGTAGCAATTTGTATGTCAATGTTTTGCTTCTATGGAAATGATCAACATTTGTTTTAAATGACTAGGACTCTCAATCACAGTGGCACCATTAGGAGCAGTTTCTGCACTCTTATTTGCCACACCTTCAGCCCATTCTGCACGGGTATGTCTATTAGTACTAACTCATTTTGGCCTATTTCAATCTTTATTGCTTCCTTAAATTATGGCCAAATTATCTATTTCAATCTTTGTTCGAAAGGGTGAGTTTCATATTTACATCATTCTGTTGGAATTCGTAATTGCATTTGCTGCTGTTTGTTTTGATTCTGTCACTACGGTTTGTATTTAATGGAATTACACTGCCGCTAAGATTCAGTCCGAGTTATTGATTTTGGTAATTGCATTTCTGTACATATCTCTGATATATATGGAACAGTTAGAGTGACCTTTATAAGTTATAATTTGCATTATGGTATCAGTTCTTGAGAATCTAATCATAGCATTACATTGATCAGGTTCAAATAGGGTCTCATTCCTTTACATTTGATCATGTTTATGGAAATGGTGGATCTCCTTCATCTGAAATGTTTGTGGAATGCGTTGCGCTCCATTGGTTGATGGCTTATTTCAAGGATACAATGCTACTGTGCTTGCTTATGGTCAGGTTAGGTCCATAGTGCATGATCATGTACCCAAAGTTGAAAAAGATAATTCAATCCATATTTTCATTTGAAGCACATTCATATTTTTTATTTAAAGCTCATATTTGTAGCAGACAGGATCCGGGAAAACGTATACCATGGGAACTGCCTGCAATGACAATAGTGGGATTGGATTGATTCCTCAGGTTATGAATGCCTTGTTCAACAAGATTGAAACTCTAAAGCAGCAAACGGAATTTCAGTTGCATGTTTCCTTCATTGAGGTATATTAGTTATACCATTATACCGTGTTGCTGCTGCTGTTGTATATTGATTGTTTAGTATATGTTGTATATTGTTGCTGCTGCAGTTTAGTGTATTACTGATTACTGTTTAATCATTATCTTAGGGCGAATCTTATGATGTGAGCTTCTGCTGCTGATTTGCTTGATTTGTTAGCTCAGATGGAGCATTTTAATATTTCCCCGAATACAGCATCGTTTAATTTGGTTCTTAAGGCTCTGCATCAGGCTGGTGAAACGCTTGCTGCTGAAAAACTTCTTGAACGGTTAGATCATGTCATTGTTTAAATTTGATGTTTATGTTGTGGATTGAATAAGGAATCTGTTTGTGAAATTTTTTAGACGTGAGATCATTTCATTTAGGATTACAAATTATGAAAAGTGAGATCATTTCATTTAGGATTACAAATTATGAAAAGTTCTGGGTTTATTGATTAAGGAGTGTTCAGATTTTCTTAGTAGATTTTATTTATATATTGTGAGGTAGTTTGTAAGAGCATTTGGAAACAAACAATGATACGATTATAAGCTGAAACAGTTTATAGCTTATATTAAATTAACTTAGCTTTATGCTATGCTGTGTTGTCAATAGCACGTTATAGCGGAATAGCCCAGAGGTGGTAGAGTTTGGCATTACTCTTTTGGCCTGGATGCTACTGTCGTCAATAGTGGTTGTTAATTGCAGCCTCAAAATCTATTTTTAAACTGTTTGAACCATTTCAAGAGTAATGTTCTATTCTTCATTCTATTATGTTCTTGTTCATTCTATTAGCCCCAAAATCTATTATGCTGCCAAGCTTCAGTGTTTCTCCATCTGCTTGTTATCTTTGAAGAAACATACCTCTGTGGTCAAACTTCATAACCATTTATAGTCAACTAGTCATGCTAGTTGTTGTGAAATATGCTGCAGGATTTGCTTAGTTGAGTGAAATGTTTCACCGCTCTCTAATAATGATGACTTGCATGGAATGACTTTAGGTTTAAATGGAACAGGTTGAGTGTATAGCTGAGCTTGTCCTAACTTTGTGGAAGCTAAAATGGACTTCAGTAGTGGATGGTTTCAAAATATCTTTGAAAGCTCGTTGTATCTACTGTTTTGAATTTCATACTTAATACTGGTTTATAAATGTTCCTACTGATTTTGATTATAAAAGTTCCATTTCCGTTCATTTTGTTATGTTAAAAGAATACCATAACATTTGTCAAGAATATTGCAACCTATTCAATGTTTGTACGTTTATGCAGTCCACTGTCAAAATGTCAAGACCACCACTTTTCATTGGTGATTTGAAGAAGGGAAATCAGGTTTGGAAAATAGCTATTCATGTGGTTAACCTATGGACCATAAAAGAGCGTAGTGATCAAGATAATCAAATGGAATTGAAGCCCTTTTTTGAAATTAAGAATTGAAAATGGAATTGACTTGAATTAGAATTAAATTTGAAATAAAAAATTGGAGAGAACTTGAATGGAATTGTAACTTGAGTTCTTGAATTAAAATCGTAACATATACATATATTTGGATCTTAAATTATGAAACTTTGGTGACCATTGAACCTTTGAGAGAGAAAATGAAACTTGATTGTGAACGAACCTTAATGTGGATTGTCGTAAAATTTGAAATTTAAAGTTGGCCATTAAATCTTGAATTGCAACTTAGATTCCTTAGTGGTACTTAAAATTGGATTTAAAGCTGAAACCTTGACCTGATAGTTTTTTGATCCCCGAATCAATCTTGTAAGACCCGAGCTTAAGCAGCAAAAAATAAAAAGGTACAGATTCTATATGCGCAATGATAGATGATATGAATAACGCATAAATGATGAAAATGCAATGATATGTACAGTTGGAAATTTAGGGTCAAAATTAGGGTGTAACAGTTGCCCCTATTTAAATATCTTCAACTAGAGAGTATGAAGCAAGTTATTCTTCATATGATCATAGTAGGAGATAGTTAAATATCAAGAAGACCCGAATTTTGATCCTGAATGCATATGACATGCTATGTTGTGCACAAAAGAGAAAATATGTGATGCAAGTGCAATGCGGATGCAATGAACTACATCATGATGAAGATGATGGTATGATACGTGCAAAAATCCTGACAAGTAAAGAAAACACACGGGGATAAGTCAACACAACGAGTAGGGGTGTTCATGGGTGCGGGTCGACCCGCAAACCCGCCTACCCAAACCGAACCAACCCACTAATTACCCAGACCCATTCATTTACGGGTATACCCGACTCAACCCGTAACAACCCGTATAGATTTGGTTCGGGTATTGGGTTTTAGTTTCTAAACTCATGAACCCGTTGACCCAACCCGCTGACGTGGCATAATTAATTATTATTATTATTATATTATTATTATTTATAAATTTTAAAGTTGCTATAACTTTGTAAATTGTAACGTACACAAAGATCTTTTGCACTTTCCTTCTAGTTTCCAATCACACATTAAATTATTATTATTATTATAATTAAACATTATTATTAATATTAATCATGCTTGCTTGACTTATGCACTTCTAGTTTACACTTTACTACCTTTTTATTTTTTTAATGAATCTTTATTAACTAATAATAATTAAGTATATATTAGAAACTTACTAAACTAAAGACAATACCACTTAACCTAACCCTATTTTTTTACTACGGCAAATCTCAAACGTCACCACTCCTCTTTCTCTCACGATTTTTTTTTTTCATTTTACTCTCTCACATTCCAATTCCATCTTGCTTTCGAAAATCCACAGTCTATACTTTGACTCTCTCATAGTTTCGTCTCCATATTGAATAAGGTTTTATACTTTTTATAGTTCTACAATATATTTATTTCAATGCAATATATTGTTTTTACAGTATGTACTTCAATAGTTTTATATCAATGCAAAATATGATGATAGGTTCAATGTAATGTACTATTTTGTTTCATATGATGCAAAGTACTATTTTGTTTCATATGATGAAAATATATTTTGATGCAAAGTCCTGTTCTGTTTCATATTATTAATTTAAATATATTTTGTTTAATGTTGTTTTAATAATAATTTATATTAAAAATTGTTTTTTTTATAGAAAATGGAAGTGGAACAATCACAAATTGTCAGTGAAGATGTTGCTCATCCACTTGAAAAGAGCAAGAAGTTCAACAAATACAAGGAGAAGGGTTGTCATCATTGCCACCAAGTGCACTAATAGAGGTAAGCAAAAGAAAACCCTCTAGAAAACCTTCTACAGTTTGGAAAGATTTTAAAAGGGTTAATGATAAGGCTATATGTAAGTATTGTGGGAAACAATATGCTGCAAATAGTGGTAGTCATGGCACTACTAACATGCATAAACATTTGAAAGTGTGCCTGAAAAATCCAAATAGGGTAGTTGAT